AGCGCGCTACCGCTTGAGCCACATCCCCAGCCCCCTCCCTCTCTCTTAAAAAATAAAAAATAAAAAAATAAAAGTGCTTAGGGAGCTGGGGTAGTGGCTCAGAGGAAGCGTGCTTGCCTTGCATATGTGAGGCACTGGGTTCGATCCTCAGCACCACATACAAATAAAACAAAGGTATGTTGTGTCCACCTACAACTAAAAAATAAATGTTAAAAAATACCTATAAAAAAAGTGCTTAGGCACACTTGTTTGTACAATAGATTTATTACAGCCCACGAATGTGTGTGTTTGCTTCTCTCCGTATGATAGTGAAAAATGTGTAGCTGATGAAGGAGGCGTAGTTAATAAGACCTAATAGTAACTTTTACAGATAATATAAAAAAGTAGAAATAAAAAGAAAAGGAATTTGTTTGTCGAGGAGAGGTGGGAGGCTTTGAAATAACAATATCAAAAACATTGAGGGCACAGGTTGGGGTTGTGTCTCTGGTAGAGCACTTGCCTAGCATGTGTGAAGCACTGGGTTCGATTCCTTGCACTGCAAATAAATAAATAAAATAAAGGTCCATCAACAACTAAAAAAATAAAAAAACTGAGGGCATAGAGAATTATTCTTTCTATGATAGTTCATAGTAAATGGCACTTGGTCTCAAAAAGTAATTATTTGTTTAATATATGTAGGAAGTTTTTTTTTTTTTTTAAACAATATCTTTTTTTTTTGATGGTGGAGTTACTGGGAATTGAACTCAGGACTTGACCACTGAGCCACATCCCCAGCCCTCTTTATATTTTATTCAGAGACAGGGTCTCACTGAGTTGCCCAGCACCTTGCTATTGGGGAGGCTGGCTTTTAACAATATCGTTTTTTTATTCTTACCAGCAGTGCACAATGATCGCAAGTTTTTCTTTCTTTCTTTTTTCTTTTTAGTTGTTGACTAACCTTTATTTTATTTATTTGTTTATATGTGGTGCTGAGAATTGAACCCAGTGCTTCACACATGCTAGGCAAGTGCTCTCCCACTGAGCCACACCCTTGCTCTATGTAGGAGATATTTAAAAGATACTGCTTTGAGTATTTTACAACTATTCATTTATTTATGAGCAATTAATTCTTTTTTTTTTTTAAAGAGAGAGAGAGAGAGGAGAGAGAATTTTAATATTTATTTTTCAGTTTTTGATGGACACAACATGGTTGTTTGTATGTGGTGCTGAGGATCGAACCCGGGCTGCACGCATGCTAGGCAAGCGCGCTACCGCTTGAGCCACATCCCCAGCCCGCAATTAATTAGGACCTTGCTAAGTTGCTGAGGCTGACCTTTAACTTGTGATCCTCTTGCCTCAGCCTCCTGCAGCCTCACTTCTGGAGCTGCTGGAATTATAGGCATGTACCACCATGCCTGGCTATATAATGACCTTTAACAGGACAGTGGGTTGGGATTTTTTACCTAGTGTGCACAATGATCTTTGAATAACTAATAAAAAGCAAGTGATAAGAAAGTAAAAGGAAAATCAAAGTAACCCTGTCAGCCATTTCCTAAAATTACCTAGTTTTCCTTAGAAGCAAGCCACTGTTTTAAATTTTTTTGTTACTATCATCTTTAAAAATGATTTTTCCTCTTATAAAGGAATCCAGAACATTGGCTGAAATTGCAAAAGCAGAGCTGGATGGCACCATTTTGAAGAGTAGACCTCTCCGAATTCGTTTTGCTACACATGGAGCAGCCCTAACGGTCAAGAACCTTTCTCCAGTTGTTTCCAATGAGCTTCTAGAACAAGCATTTTCCCAGTTTGGTCCAGTAGAGAAAGCCGTTGTGGTTGTGGATGATCGTGGTAGAGCTACAGGAAAAGGTTTTGTAGAATTTGCAGCAAAACCTCCTGCACGAAAGGCTCTGGAAAGATGTGGTGATGGGGCGTTCTTGCTAACAACGTAAGTTTTAAATATCTCGTCCTTCTTTTGTCCAGTTACATATGGTCTTCTCTCTGTTCTGGAATTCTGTCTTCCTTTACAATTCATACTGTTTTGGCATACGGTAAGTAGGTATTGAATGAATTATTGATGAATGTGAAAAAGGAATTTTTATGTATTGCTCACTAGGACTTATGAATCATATAAAACAATCCTTTAAGAAATTTTAGCTTTTATTGAGGTATAATTTGAGCCAAATAAGTTTTAACAAATGTTTATAACCATGTAACTACCACTATAATCAAGATATGGAACATTTCCATTGTCCCCCAAAAGTTGCATCGTGCCCCTTTGTACTTACTCTCTACTACTTACCCATGCCCTAAGTAGATATTAATCTTTTCATTACCACAGATAAGTTTAGTCTTTATTAATAGAAATCATGTAGCATGTACTCTTTTGTGTCTGGTTTCTCTTGCTTAGCGTGTTTGTGAGATTTCATCCTTATCAATGTGTGTATAGTATTTTATAGCTGAATTATTATTATATCTAGTTGTCCAGTGACTTATGGGTTGGTGTTTGGCCAACTGTTGTGAATAAAGCCACTATGAATATTTGTGTACAAGTCTTCTTTTGAACATTATGCTTTCATGTGGCTTAGGTATATACTTTGGGGTAAGTTGCTATATGTTCATTTTCCTAAAAAAACTGTTAAAACTAACTGGGTGTGGTGGTGCCTGCCTATAATCCCAGTGGTTTGGGAGTCCAAGGCAAGAGGATCTCAAGTTTGAAGCCAGCCTCAGCAATTTAGCGAGGCCCTAAGCAACTTAGTGAGACCCTATCACAAAATAAAAGAAGGGCGAGGAATATAGCTCAGTGGTTAAGTGTCCCTGAGTTCAGTCCCCTGGTACTCCTCCAGAATCCCCAAAATAAAAAACAAAAACTGACAAAACTGTTTTCTAAGGTGTTTGAATCCCCACCAGCCAAAAATGAGAGGCTCTGGCATTTTTAGTTTCTCTCTTTCTCTCTCTCTCTTTTTTTTTTTTTTGATAGTAGGGATTGAAGGTTGTTTTACCATTGAGCTACATTCCTAGTCCTTTTTAAATTTTTTTAACATCTTTAAAAAATTTTTGAGACAAAGCCTTGCTAAATTACTGAGAGTCTTCTTGCTATACTTCTGCCTCCTCCAGTCTCTGGGCATTTTTAATCTTAGATATTCTAGTGAATATAGTAGTATCTCATTGTGTTTAAAATTTTATTTTCCTGATGGCTAACGATAAGCATCTTTTTTATATGCTTTTTGGCAAGTTATATATCCATGAAGTATCTGAAATGTTTTGGCCATTTTCTAATTGAGTGATTTGTCTTTTTACTAAATTATCTATTTTAGGTACATGTCTGTGGGAGGCCAACCTTATGGGTGACTGAGTTACACTCCCCGGCTGGGTGCTGAGGCGCTCAGTCACAGAAATGAGTGTGTCTTGCTGTAGCCCCATGGGTGAAGCTATGCTCACCTGTTCCTTTGTAATATAACCCCTTGCCCTGTTTAGGATAGAATCTTCCATGGAAGTGCCTTGTGTGTGGCCTACTGAGGCTCAGTCAACCTGCTGACAGTGGACTTTATGAAGATACTCAGCCCCCTGAAACCTGACCCCTTGCCTCATTTGAATAGCTTCCCTCAATAAAAGGGGTCAGCATGTGCTCTCTCTCTCTCTTTCTGAGGACCCTTAAGGTCAGAGGAGCCGTCACAGCGACCCCAAAGAAAAAGGTATTTGTGTCTCTTGTGTGGTTATTTCGTGCGTCCCAGTTAGCCCAGTTTAACTGGAGTGACCCCTGAGCCTTTTAGTCGTGAGAACAGAAACCCGGCACATGTCTATATTATGAATATGTCTCTTTGTGGCTTTCCTTTTTTTTTTAGTACTGGAGATTGAATCTAGGCTTTCATGTGTCCTAGGCAAGTGATCTACCATTGAGCCTCATTCCTGAGCCCTGTGGCTTGCTTTTTAATTTTCTTAACGTGATTTCCAAAGAGCAGAAGTTTTTGTATTTTGTGAAGTACAGTTGAAAAGGTTATAGTTGCATTTTTGTCAAAATTGGAAATCGGGGGCGGGGGGAGGGGGAAGAAAAGGTCTGGGGGTGTTGCTCAGTAGTAGAGTACTTACCTGGCATGCCTGAATCTATTTTCCTTTCTGTTCTGTTTATCACTGTATCTGCTCTAAAGCTACTTAGTTAATTACCTAATTTATTTTAAGCTTTGAGAAATTAGAGAGTGTAAATCATCTAACTTTTCTTTTGAAACTGGGGATTGAACTCTTAGCATTCTGCTGCTGAGCTACATCCCTAGCCCTTTTTATTATTTTATTTTAAGACACGGTCTGTCTACATTGCCCAGGCTGGCTTGGAGCTTGTGATTCTCCTCATTCAGCCACTTGAGTAACTGGGATTACAGATGTAAGCCCACCCGTGTCCAATCAACTTCACTCTTTTTTCAAAACTGTTCTATGACGGATTCTTTGTTTTTTAAATTTAGCTTATTTTAATTTTTTTGGTACTGGGGATTGAACCCAGAAGCTCTTCACCACTGAGCTATATTCCTAGCACTTAATTGTTTTTTATTTTGAGATAAGATCTCACTAAATTGCTTGGGGCCTCACTAAATTTCTAAGGGTGACCTCAAATTAGGGATTTTCTTGCCTCAGAGCTTCCTGTACCACTGGGATTGTGGGTATGTGCACACCTGGCAGATTTTTGTATTTCTTTATCATGTGGTGCGGTCAGCCATCGGTTGTGAAATATTCAAATATTTTAGGGTGTGGGAAATTGAATTTAAAATAATATTTCTTTGGTCTTTAGAGGTTTGGATATTTGTAAAACATTTTTCACTCTGTTTTTTACTGTTTAGCATTCATGCTAAAATTGAAATTCATAGTAGTTTTGCTGCTTTACAGCACAGCCAGCTTGTTCTGGTATCAGCCTCTGGTCTTACTGTTTTTGCTTAGAGAACTTTCTTCCCTTACTAGGATAAACCTCATTTTCGTTTTTTTTTTTTTTTGGTACCGGGAACTGAACTCAGGGGCGCTTAATCACTGAGCCACATCCCCACTCTTTTTTGTATTATACTTAAAGACAGTTTCACAGAGTTGCTCAGGGCCTTGCTAAATTGCTGAGGCTGGTTTTGAACTTGTGATTCTTCTGCCTCAGCCTTCAAAGTCTGTGGGATTAGAGACGTGTGCCACTGCGCCTGGCTCCATTTTTTTCCTACTTTGCAAAAATTAGTTCTCTTTACAGAAGAGGCTGGCCTTGAAATTGACATTCTCCTGTCTCAGCCTCCCAAATTGCTGGGATTACTGGAATGTGAAACTGGCCAGCTCATCCTATTTTAAAGTAACCATCCTCTGTACCATCACTTAGGATTCACTCCTCATTTTAGTTCTCTTCATAGTGCCCATGCTTTAATTTGTATGTCTTTCTTTTTTAATATTTATTTTTTAGTTGTAGCTGGACACAATATTTTTTATATGGTGCTGAGGATCGAACTCGGCCTCATACGTGCTGTGTGAGTGCTATACTGCTAAGCCACAATGCCAGCCTCTAATTTGTATATCTTTCTCTGCAAATAGAATGTAAGCTCCATGAAGGCAGGGGTTTGTTTTGTTCCAATTCTGTAATCCCAGCACCTGTGTTGTGTTTCATTTTAATTTTATTTTGCAGTGTGGGAACAACACCTATACTCTAATGATACCTGGTCACATAGTAGGCTTGTGGTAATTATTTCATGAATGAATGAAGGAATGGGCAAGACATTTCTTGAAATGGGAGAAGCATGTGATTTGTATTTTTTTCTATTGCAAGCTTTGATGAATTGGTGTTTTTTAAAGTGATAGCCACACTGGTAAATATTTAACAAGTTCTCATAAGTAGCTTTTAAATATTTTAAAGAACAGTTTTTTTTGGGGGGAGGCGGGGTACCAGGGATTGAATCCAGGGGCACTCTGCCACTGAGCCTCATCTTCAGCTGTTTTGTATTTTATTTAGAAGGGTCTCACTGAGTTGCTTAGTGCCTTGCAGTTGCTGAGGCTGGCTTTGAGCCTGCGATCCTCGTGTCTCAGCCTCCTGAGCTGCTGGGATTATAGGTGTGTGCCATCGCACTCAACTTGAAGAATGGTTTTGAGGGAATTGGCAAGGTGTTGAACATTTTATTATCTGAGAGATATTTCATAATCATGGTTTCTTGGATTTTTGCTGTAATACTGGTTATTATTTGTCCTATTTTTCATGTGAACAAATTGACCCAGAAATGTAAAGTTATATGCTTAAAGTTGTATAGCAGTTAGTTGTAGTAAGTTGAATTATAGCTGTAATAAGTTTAGTCTGGTATCAGGTCCCTTGTTTTTTATGTTGTGGGGTGATTGATGCTGCCTGCAGATTCTCTTTGCTTAGGAGCTTTGCATCTCAGAGAATTCAGAATGCTCTTCTCTTCTGCTGTTTGCATGGTAGTGCCAGCTAAAATATGTGGTGGAGAGGAAGTCTTTTGACTGTCTTGTCTAAACTGTAGTCCCTCTGTTGTTCTCATTCTTATTCTAAATTTTTTTTTTTTTTGGACACTGGAGAGCACTCAGCCACTAAGCCACTTCTCCGGCCTTATTTTGTGTTTTATTTAGAGACAGGGTCTCACTGAGTTGCTTAGTGCCTCACCCTTGCTGTGGCTGGCTTTGAACTCAAGGTCCTCCTGTCTCAGCCTCCGAAGCCACCGTGATTACAGATGTGCGCCACTGTGCCTGGCCTTGTTCTAGTTTTGTGGTAAGGATTAAACCTAAGCTCTTGTGCATAATAGGCAAATGCTCTACTACTGAGCATACCTCTAATCCTCCTGTTATTTTCTTTTTTTTAATATATTTTTTATTTGTAATTAGACACAATACCTTTATTTATTTATTTATTTTTATGTGATGCTGAGAATCAAACCCAGTGACTCGAATGTGCTAGACAAGTGCTACTGCTGAGCCACAATCCCAGACCCT